ATGTGTGTATATATATATATATAATATATATGTGTGTGTGTGTATAATATATGTGTGTGTGTGTGTGTGTACATATGTATATATACATATGTTGTTTGTTATGTGCCGTCGAGTCAGCCCCAACTCATAGGGACCCCTCCTTGGGTTTCCGAGGTGGTATCACTACAGAAGTAGATTGCCCAATACGTATGTATATGTACTTCCGTAGTGATACTGCCTTGGAAACCCAAGGAGGGGTTGCTATGAGTTGGGTCCGATTCGATGGCACATAACAACAACAACATATAAAAACTCAAACAAACAAACAAACAAACCTCTCAATGTCGTTGAGTCAGATTCGACTCATAGTGACCCCTCCTCGGGTTTCCAAGGTGGTATCTCTACAGGTAGACTGCCCAGTCTTTCTTCCAAGGAGTGGCTGGTGGGTTTGAACCGCCAGCCTTCTGGTTAGCAGTCAAATGCCTTAAGCACTATGCTTTCAGAGCTCCTCTATCTATCTATCTATCTATCTAACATGTCTGTATACTATCATATCCCTATTAAGGCCAACTTTAAATCACCTGGTATTTTCTGTTTTTCTTAGCTTTTCTAATTATAAATGCTGTTTGCTGTAATTCATTGCTTAGTAAAAGAAATAAATTTTAAATATAATTTAATTTGCATTGTGACAAACACTAGTGCCTTTATTCCTGGTGGTGTCCTTTTTTTTTAATACCTGAACTATAATATAAAAAGCAAATATTTTCTGAAACTATTAATAGGAAGTAACACAACAGTATATTTATTGTATAGCAACACAACATCTAATTACACGGGCTTTAGTTTAACAGTCCTGGAGACAAATGAGAAACTCCATGCTTTAGTGTGATGTGCCACCAGGTGGCCACAGCTTACACTGCAGGGGAAACCTGCCACTCTTTTAAAAAAATAGGTTAACAAAATTACCTGTAGCCAGTTAAATACAACAAGAAAACAATAAAAATTTATAGATACTTCAAGTCCCATGCATACTTGTTTTATAAGCTAGTATTTATTGATCAAGGAGCTCTGGTGGCACATTGGTTAAAGCACTTAGCTGCTAACCAAAAGGTCAGCAGTTCAAACTACAAAGTGCTCCACCAGAAAAAATGAGGCAGTCTGTTTCATAAAGATTTACAGCCTTGGAAACCCAATGGGGCAGTTCTACTCTGTCCTACAGGGTCAGTATAAGTCGGAATTGATTTGATGGCACATTTTTATTTAGTGATCAAAAAAATGTTAAATTTCTCATCACAGTGTATTTTGATTTTAGAATAAATTTGCAATCACAATTTAACAAAATCAAATTTTCTTCAAATTACCATCCATAACTTTAATATTTAAAATTTTTATTCTATTACGCAGGATATTCTTAGAGATAAAGAGATAAAACTGGAGATAGTATAATACTTATATTTAAAAGTTACAAATCAAATATCTATTAATGATCAATTTTTTCCGCTATATTTTGACATATTCTTCCTTGATGTACCACCCAAATCAAAACTGGGTACTTTATATTTATGCTTATATATTTGTAATAGGAATTGTGACAACTAACTGTCACTACACTGGACTGATAAAAAATGCCAGAAATTTTAGATCAAGCACACTTTTTCCATCATAGCTTTTAAGTAATTGTGATGCCAATTAATTTTAATAAACATTTCACAAATACATATTCAGTTACTTAAGTAGTCAGCCAAAGGCATATTCCCATATAAACTGCTAATTAAGAGAAACAAATAAATGGAAATATGCTCATTTTCTGGGTCATTTCTTTATGTACTACATATTACATAAAAAAAACATATGGATATAATTCTATAACTGGATGGTAGAAGACTACTTACCTGTTATTAAAAAGAATACACAAAGCACACAAAAATCCCATTCCAGCTTGAAATTTTAATCTCTTAACAAATCAAGTCTTTTGTCAGAACTACCAAAAATAAGCAACATTAAAACTTCAATAGTCTTTGATTTTAGTATTAGCTTTGCCAGTAGTTGGTTTCTGTGTGCTTTGCCTCTTTGGACCTCAATTTCCTCATCTAAAATGCATAAGCTAAATTATTTCTAAGGTTCTGTTGTCCAGCTCAAATTCTATGATTCTATTAAACATCCAAAAGCCATCTAACAGAAAAGAGAGGAAAACACCAGGGCTCTAAATACTGCTCAAAAAGGGTAAGGTTCTCTTGCTCATGCCTAAAAGGTGAACAGTATATGTTCTTTTCACAAGGAAAATGAAAGGTTCCTCAAGTTCTAGAATATTTACAGGCATAGAGATCAGAATGAATGGGTCCTGAGATGTTAACAGAGATTACCATATGATACCTTATTAAAGAGTGATGAGAGTAGAAGGGAAATATGGGAATGTAAGAAGTAAACCCTAAGATGATTTCCTACTCAAAACCTGCTTTTTTAGAACAAGTCTTAAATAGTTTTCCAGAATTAAGAATAGCATATGACCTGAATATCTCTTTGAAGTTCTCTTTAAACTCATGATTTTAAGAACTTTTAAATATTTTCCTATCATGATCAATTTTAAAAAAATTACTTCATAAGAATTCCTTTTATAAATGAAAGAACAAAGCTGTGAGGTCAGCTCAATCATAGGTATACTCAGAAATAGAGGGGGGAAAAAGTCAATATAATGGAAAAAGGGATGATACAGGGAAAAGACTTTAGCTTTGCAGTAAAATAAACTGGCTTTGAGTCTGGGCTCTATCTGACTCAACTGCTCAGACTGGGTCTACCATTCAATAGCTCACTGACATTTGGAAAATTGCTTTGTGTCACTGAGCTTAGTTTCTTTATGTGTAAATGCAGTGAATTGTTTGATGTGGCCCTTCTAGCCATTGTCCTCCATTCTGTGGTGTTTTGTAAATCCCATTATCCATGCCTGTTTGGGGTGGTGTGGTAGTTAAGGTCAGGTTATCAACTTGGCTGGGCAGCTGGTAGTAGTCATTCCCTATAATGACTGGCAATCGACTCTGTTATGGGATTTAGGTTAATTCTGTTGGGGCAACACAGATGGGATGTGTCTTGAGTCCTGCCTTGCTGGAGGGTATAATTCAAATCACCACCCTTAGCTTCCCTGAGGGTATACCTACGAAGATTGAAGATTCACTCTCCTCTTGCTCCGGCTTTGTTTTGGATCATCCTCATCTCACCCCTGGATTTGGGGGCAACAGCCACCGTCTGATCTGCTGATCGAGGTTCATCAAACCCCGAGAGTTGGGAGGATCCGCCACACCTACTCACGGACCTGGGACTCACCAGCCTGCCAGCCTCCACCACTACTACGTGAGACGAACCCTTGGGTGTCTGTGAGTTCTGTGAGGCGTTACAGCAAAATACAGAACCCTAAGACTCGGGAAATTACTGGGAAGAGGAGGAGGGGTTAGTGTCTGAAATGATGGAGTGGCATGGTAGTTTGGACATTTGGGACATCTTTGACCTCCGCCTCATGGGGACCAGCCATGTGCTGATCTTTCTAAGAGAAATTGTTCAAGCAATTGGTGTCAGAATGGTGGGATTCGCTGTAACGGCCCAGACTCGCTGGAATATGTCGTTTTGGGAGAAAGGAGATAAACGGGAAAGTAAGAAACCTTTGGCTTCTGGATGGGATAAAAGAAACCCATGGATTGAAGCAGCTTTTTTGTTGAGATCAGTCACCCAAGGCAAAAGCTATTCATGGGATTTAGGAGAGATGGATCTAACTCCTGAGGAATTGGCTAGTTTTATGTATATGGAAATACAGAATGATGAGGAAAGGGCTAGACTTACGATTCCTTGGTTGCTGTTATCGGCAATAGCTGCAATGGCAGGGGAAAAGAATGTAGAGCAGGGTTGTAGCACTAAATCGAGCTCAGATCCAGGCCAATTAGAGCTACGACCCCTAGTTTCAGGGCCTACCCAGAAAGGAAAAATTGTGTCAGAACAACAGGCAGTACCGGTAAGACCACTGGTCACCAAAAAGGTAGTCCGGGAAGGGAATGGGCAAAGCCAAGAAACTATTGAAAGCAGAGGGTATAGTTTGAAAGAGCTGCTTCAGTTTGTAGATCGATATCGTCAGCTTCCCAAGGAATCTTTACTACAACAGCTAGTCTGTTGGAATGGATAAAATTTGCGGTCAGGTTTGTGTATCCTGAGAAGGGAAACTGCCCCTCTTCCCCTCCAAATGGCCCCTGGAACACCCCAGAGGAAGCAGATGATGTGCTGCTTATGCAAGCCATGCTGGGATGGCTTTATGGTGATTGGGATATTCACCCAATGAGAATGCCCCTTACACAGGTCATGGCAGATATGGTGATCAGGGGAGCCCCTTCTACATGGGCACCCCATGTAACTCTGCTGTTGCAAAACAAAGCAACAATTCGAGAAGCTGTGTCAGGCCT